TATGATTCTGATGAAATACAAATTAGCAATTCAGTTGTAGAAAATGAAGGAATATTATGTATATTTGGTATAATTGTAGGCAAAGATCCCACATTGTCTAAGTCTGCATGTTGTTTTATTATCATTCTATAATTCTAAGGAAATAATTTGCACCATCTAGATAATTCCATGTTTATAACAAAGGCGCATTATCAGGGTTCCAACGAGTGTCTGGTACATAGTGATTTTGAAATCAAGATTTTTGTCCCCTTAGTGTGGTTCGCATTGGTATCATATTACGTTATCATAAGTAGAAGCAAAAGGACAAATGTAATCTTGCAACGATTTGAGTAACTCACACGGGCTAAAAGCTAAGCATTTTTCTTCAAATTACTTCAGAACTTAAGTAATTTTTTAACCAAAACAGCATTGACTAAATTTTCTATTTAGCGGTTCACTTAATTATGAAGGATTTTACTTTCACGTGATGTTTTGATATGACAGTTAGGTTAATTCTAAGTAAATTAGATTATATTAAGTAAAAGTTTAGTGGTTAAGAAGTGGGCGAAACGACTATTATAGTAATAACTCTTTATTTGTACTGACCTTTCAAGAAGAATAATACTAATAACTTGATAACCAAATCTTCCTTTTACTTATTTGCGACCTGAACACATTGGTATCAAAATTTTATCCAAAAAATTAAACGACCAAGATACCTTCTGGATCTGTCTATCTAATGTCGAAGAGTGTAAACCAATCTTGGTTAAGTAAGCTGTATAAATATTGTTCTTCTAATATATCATCTTAATGAACTCACAGGACTACGTGCAATTATGTAATCTCATATTTAATATCTAGAATTACACACTACAAGGTGATATTTAAATATCATTTCGAAAATTAAAGTGGTAGTGTGCGCAGTGGCGTTTCTATGAATCATTGGGCGGGGCTATTATAATTGTCAGCACTAGTCAAGAATTGATTTTCAATTAAATGTGAACCAACTTAAAGTGGGGGGGGGGGG